AGAGAGAGAGAGAGAGTGTGTGTGTGTGTGTGTGTGTGTGTGTGTGTGTGTGTGTGTGTGCGTGTGTGTGTGTGTGTGAAGATAATGTTTCGTGAGGATGGGTGACAAAGTACGACGTGGAAGCGTGTTCTCAACACCGGTATCGAAAGGACGGCGGGTGCATCAGCAACATCAACAGCATTCAACAGCATTCAACTCCATGAAGACCGCACCGATTCTTGGAGGGCATGGATGGTAGATTCCAGCCTCGCCACTTCCTGGCCCGTTTCCGTCTTGAGTGTGCCAGCAAGTGTCCCCTGCTCACTCGACAGCTGCAGTGCAAGTGGTGCGATGGGCGATAGGCTCGTGAGCGCTGGTGGAACAAACATTATTACTGATCATGGGCATGGGAGCACATGCGGGGGCAACACATGATCAGGACATACAGACACAACAGGCGCTGCTGCAACCAATGCCCACACCCGCACAGGCCAAACAGACGGACGGACACCTGTTGTGTTTGCTGCTGTATTTCACGCGTGACGTCTGCGAGCTTTGAGTGAATGGTCTGTGTCTTTGTAGTCAGATCGCTCGCGTGCTGTTCGCGCAACTCCTTCAACTTCTCCTCCACAAATGCGGTCATGGACTGCAAGGTATCGTAAGGTTATTTGTGGATGTGTGTGAGTGGATGTGTGGACGTACATGTGTGTGTGTGGTTGCACATGGGTGGATGTGGTGTTGTGGATGTTTCAGTGTTGGCAGCGCCTCGCTTGACACATACACACACATGCACACACATGCATGTATGTATGTATGTATACATGCACGCGCGCTGTCATACTTTTGCTGCGTCTTCTGACTTTCGTTCGCGTTCGTCCCTGTGAGCGGAACACGAACCATGGGCGTGCGTGAGCAAACCGATGCAGCAGTGAGGAGACAGATCGACACACGTAAATGCATAACCCAAAAGACAAGCAAGCAAGCAAGCAAGCAAGCCAAGCAAGCAAGATGGCAAAGCAGGCAAGGTGGCAAAGCAAGAAGGCAAGGAAGCAGCGCAAGTTCGCAATGCAAGCCAGACCCACCGTTCGTGTTCCATTGCGCGGCGAATGTCCTCCAGTGCGGCCTGCACGGACATGTGTTCCTGTTGCTGCTGAAGCCGCAGATCATTCATGCTGTCGTGCGCCGTACGCACCTCGCGTAGTAGCTGCCCGACCTGCAGCGGCGTGATGTCGACAATAAGGAAGGAATACACAGACACAGACACACAGACAGACACACACAGACACACACACACACACACACAGGCAGCAGGCAGACACACAGAGAGACAGAGAGACATACAGACGGACACACCCACTCACGCACCCACCCACACCCACCCACACCCACCCACACCCACCCACACCCACCCACACCCACCCACACCCACCCACACACACACCCCACGCAGACAGATACAGACAGACCGACAGACCTTTCCGTCGAGGTTCTCCACGCGAACGTTGAGTGCGGCCTGGGCTTCTGTGAGACCGGTCGCCTGCATGTGTCCGATGGAGTCCGTCGACGTCTTGCTTGCAAGGCTGTGGTTGACCTGAAGTGGTGTTGGAGGTGAAGCAAGCATGGACACCGAATTTCGTGGTGACGTGCGAGCGAGCAGGGCTTGCGCTTATCAACGCTCTTGATGGAGAAACATGTGTACAACATACAAGCACAACACATGCACAAGCACAACACAACACATACACAAGCCCAAGCAGCAAGTCTCAGCAACGTGTGTTGCGGCGGCTGCACCTGCACTGCGAGCGCATCCACGCGTTCGCCAAACCGTCGCAGCTGGTCTTGAATGGCCGTCTGTTTGTCATTGGTGGTGATGCTGGCATCATGAGCGCACGGCCATCACGTGGTGGTGTTGGCATGGCGTATGGCTGGGGCGAGGGCGCAGGTGTGAAAAGGAGAGCGTGGAAGGTGCCACATTCATAACGTTTCATGGCTGTCGCGCGTATTTGTGCTTGTGCAAAGACGAGCGCGTGGTGGCCCCACCTGAAACGCCTGTTGCGAGGTGGTGACGGCTTGAAACGCTTCCCGAACACGTGCGTTGACGTGTTCCTGCTGTACGTGTGTGAATCCCAACTGGGAAAAGCTTGCATCCTTGCAGCGAAAAGCAGAGTAAATTATGGTAAACCGTATGTAACCGGTGTTACGACTTGACATGCATTGCTTTCATGGAGCCGGCAGGGGGGCAGGCAGACAGAGGTGCAGGTAGGCAGACACAGGCACACAAACAGACAGATAGGCAGGCAGGCAGGCACACGCACACACACAGACAGGCACACAAAGAGACACACACGGACGCACGCAGAAACACACAGACACACATACATACACAGACAGACAGACAGACACCCACAGACAGACAGACACCCACCAGTTTGGACTGTAGTGCTTGGCAGTACTGACGAACGCCGACGAGTTGTTCGTTGATGCGGGATTCAACAGCCTCCAACTCGCGGTTCAGGGACTTGACCACGTGCGTGATGGAGGACACATGGTCCGACAGCATCTTGCGTCGCTGTTGCTCATCGCGCCAAATCTCCTGGCTCATCTGTGTTGTACGCGTTTGATGAAGCCGTACAAGTGTGCGAGTGAGCATTGTGACGGTGCGAGCGTGTGCTTGCACATATTGGGGGCCTACAACGCAGGCTGGACACCCCGGATTCTGTGTTGGTGCGTCGTAACTCGGCAAGCAAAGTTGTGCCGCCACACGGTAGCGCCTGCTACGAGCGTGTCACCTGGAATGCGCTGTCAATGTCGGACTGTGCCTGTAATGCCTCGCGCAGCAGCACTTTGGCTGACTGTTCTGTTGCATGGAGCTGTCGCTCGATCAAAACAAACTATGACGCGTGGTGCAGTGTGTGTGTGAGTGTGTGTGAGAACAGAAAGAGAGAGAGAGAGAGAGAGAGAGAGAGAGAGAGAGAGTGTGTGTGTGTGTGTGTGTGTGTGTGTGTGTGGGTCCTTGCGTGCCTGAGGTAATGTCCCTATCGGGTCCCGTCACGTTGCCGCCCTCGCGGCCTTTGTATAGTCGATCTGGCATGCTTAAGGCTCATTTTTAGGCAGCGCTAGTACATAATGGAGAACTAAGAGACTGGCACCGACTCAACTGATAAACTAGGAAGCTCAACCGTGTTTATATCATGATTATCGTGAACCAGGGAGATCACACACAAACACACAAACACGCACGCACGCATGCACACACACAAACACGCACAAACACGCACACACACATACGCACACACACACACACACACACACACACACACACACACACACACACACACACACACACACACGTACACACACACACACACACACACACACACACACACACACACACACACACACACACACACACACACACACACACACACACACAGTCTGTTTACCTTCTGGGCGGCGTGTCCGTTGCGCCTTGTTCCCAAGGGAAGACCATTGTGGCAAAATGCATTTTACCCACAGGCCACCGAACACGCACACAAACCCCAAACAAAAAAACCGACCAAACAATGCAGCCGCAGCAGCGGACCAAGGCGGTGGCGGTGGTGAGGATGATGATGACCGCGATTGCGACGCTGCTGGTGCTCTTGCTGCTGACGTGCACTGCTGTTAATGTGCATGGCGCAGGGCCGAGCTGCCTCCCGCGCACGGCGCTGTACGTCGAGGACACCTGGCGTGTCATTGGGTCCAACCTTGATGCCGCCGAGTACTCGGCAGCAACCACGTGCGAGTGGCACATTCAAGGTCGGTTCATCTTGTCGCCCCTTTTCTGGTTGTCGTCGTCGTCATGTTTGTGATCTGGGCTTACCACCATCATGCGCTGGCGCACGTACTCCCACCACGCGAAGCAGTCGCATGCGCGCTGATATGTTTCTGTCCTTTTCCTTGTTTTCGTTGGATGTGTCGTTGTGTGGTGTACAGGGCCACCATCATCGCGCATTGTGTTGCACATGCTCAATTTCACAACGGAGTGCAGCTATGACTTCGTGCACATCTACGATGGAGGCACTCACCAGCATCCCCGCATCGGTTCTCTATCGGGAGCTGCTTCGCCGCCTCCCATCGTATCCTCGTCCAATGAGGTGAAGACTGCCGCGTGATTGGGAGAGCAACACACAGAGAAACCTACAACGATGCACAGACACAGCCACAGACAAAGACACGGACACAGACACAGACACACAGGCACAGACACAGACACACACACACACACACACACACACACACACACACAGACACACACGCAACACACAGACACACACGCAGCCACACAGACACACACGCAGCCACAGACACAGACACAGACACACACACACACACACACAGACAGATACGCACACAGACACAGACACACACAGACACAGACACACACGCAACACCTTCGCCAAGTTCACGGCTTTCTTTCCTGCCTTGATCTTGCGCTTCAGGTGATTGTACACTTTGACAGCGACTCCAACTACGTGCTGCAAGGTTTTCGCTTGGAGCTTGCGGCGTTTTCAGACCCAGTCGCTCTCGCCGTGGCCACGAACCTGTCATGTCCAGCTCAGGGTGAGCCAGCGCGCGCGTGTGCGTGCGTATGTGTGCATGCTCTGTGTGTGTGCGTACGCGTGTCTTGGTGGTACTGGTATGCAACAGCGTTGCGTGAGGCCCATGAACACGTTGAAGGCACGTGCCCGACTTTACACGTTGTGTTCCTCCCCCCAATTCTGTGACCATGGCAGCATGCGATACGACTCAACACGCGGCATCCTGCGGCCACTGCACGTGCAACCCGTGGGAAGTGGACTGCCCTCTCGCGCCCTGGGCTCGCGTTGCCGCGGACCCTGTCCCTGTCGTGTCAGAGCACGGCGTCGCAGCACACGCTGCTGTTTACCACGCACAGCTCGACGTCCTGGCCACTTTTGGCGGGCTCACCGTCAACGGACCATCGTCGCAGACGCGCATGTACAATTTCACAGCACAGGGATGGACCACCCTCGCTCCCGCAGCAGCTTCACCGGCCCCGGTGCGCACGTGTACTTTGTGTGTGGGTGTGTGTATTGTGTGTCGTGCGTGCGTGTGTGTGTTTATGTGTGTGTATGTGTGTATGTATTGTGTGTGTATTGTGTGTCGTGCATATGTGTGTGTGTATTGTGTGTATGTGTGCGTGTGTGTCTACAGTCCTGCAGGTGCTGTATGCACGTTTGGGTGCATACGTGCATGATCGACACTCGTACAGGCGATTGCTTGTTGGTGCAGCTGGATGTCAGCATGCGCCTGTCATCCCCTCCCCTCTTGCCTCACACCACCGCTTCCCACACTACCATTCGCCTCACCCCACCATGCCTTGCTGCCCCCTCTCCCCTACATGTCCGCCACGGTACCCCCCCCCCCCAAATCACCGTGCTGCCAGGCCGCCCGGTATTCGCACGCCTTCTGGCTCGACGGTGACGCGCTACACATACACGGCGGCGTCAACGCTTCCGAGCGCACCGCTGCCGCATATGGCATTGCACACCACCCAGCACACTACACGGATGACCACTGGCGCTTGGACCTCCAGTCTGGCGTGTGGCGGCGTGTTGATGCGCGCGGTGTGCCACCACCAGCAGTTGCCGGCCACACAGCCACACTTGTTGGGGACACGGTGTATGTTGTTGGTGGCCGCACTGCAGACACGCTGTTCAGTGCATATGTGCACGCGTTCAATGTGACGGACGAAGCATGGTCACGCATTGTGCCGCTCGCTGCGCACTTGGGCAAGGTACATGTTGTGTTGGCCATGTGTGGAAGTGGGCGGTGGGACCTGTGGTGCGTGATATGCTTGGACTACTCTCTGCGTGCTCGTGTTTGTGTGCACGTGTGTGTGTGTGTGTGCGTATCAGTCTGTTCTTGTGTTTGTCCCCATCTCATTTCATCTCTTCTCATCCTCCCCCTCTCCCTTTCTCTCTCTCTCTTCTCTCTCTTCTCTCTCTTTCTCTTTCTTTCTCTCTCACAAACACACTCTGTTTTTTTCTCTTGCTCTCTCTGACTCACTCACTCACACACACACACACACACACACACACACACACACACACATACACACACATGCGTCCCCGCAATGGCACCAGGTCTCTGATCACGCTGCTGTGTATCATCCGCAATCGCACGCCATCATCGTCAGTGGCGGGTACATCCCAGGCAACCTTCGCTTCCCGGGCCGCACATCACAGGTCAGCCGCAGAGGTGTTTGGGCGTGTGTCTGTATGTGTGTATGTGTGTGTGTGTGTGTCTGTATGTGTGTATGTGTGCGTTCGTGTGTGTGTGTATGTGCCTTTGTGGACGTGAATTTTGTGTTGAGATGTCAGTGAACCACGCGCGCGTGTATATGTGTATGTGTATGTGTGCCTGTGTGCGTGTGCATGAGTTTGCGTGCGTGCACTCACATCACCGATATGTCGCCTTGCTCGTCGTGTTGTGTCGCGTGTGTGAATGGCTGTGTGCCGTGCAGGTGCTGCTGTTTTCGTTGACGGAGCCGTCCTGGCGTGTGCTCGTGGCACACGATGACAGCCGGCCCACGCTCGCCTTCCACAGGTACATGCGAGGCACTGACAACCACAACAACCCCATGTGTGTGGGCGCTGCTCTGCTTGAATTGGACAGCACAAGTGACCTTGATAATGGCTAAATCATGTCTGCTTGCACACTCACTTGGCCACTTGGCCCAACTCACCTTCTCTTGAAATACCCAAACACACACACACACGTACACACACACACACGTACACACACACACACACACACACACACACACACACACACACACACCACACACACACACACACACACACACACACACACACACACACACACACACACACACACACACACACACACGTACACACACAGTGCGGTGCTGTGGGGAAGGTTCATGGTTCTGTTTGGAGGGTTTCGCCACAGCCATTACGAGGACGAGGAGTGCCACTCCAACGACCTTCTCGTGTTTGATGTCGACTGCGCCACCTGGCACCCGCACACACCCGCACTCAACAGGTAGCTCGCTGCTGTTCCGGCTCTTGTGTGTGGGCCTTTGCTGTTTGGTCAATCGTGTGCGCATGCATATCGACCACCACCACCACACCACCACTCAACATCACCACACCACCACGTCATCTTCATCGCTGCCAGTCCGTTCAGCGGGCGGTTTGCGCACGCTGCTGCCGTCCGCAATGGCCACATGCTCCTCCACAGCGGGTTCTCAGGCATCTTCCACACCGATCTTCTCGTGCGTACATGTTCCCGTCAGGGCACGTGTTGCTGTGGGCTTGTGGTGCTGTGCGCGTGTGTGCCTGTGTGTGCCCGGTTGGTTGCTTTGGCTGCGATTGAAACAGGGCCTCATCTGTTGTCCCACAGCCGTTGGAATACCATTGCAGTTGGCGTGACTGACCCTGGACACACACACACACACACACACACACACACACAACCGTCAGGCTGTTGAGCTGCCCGCAACAGATTGGTGTGGATGGCAGAGCGAAGACACGTGTACACAAGTCACAGGCTGTGCTCTGTGTGGCAGCAGCAACAGCAGCAGCAGCAGCAGCAGCAACACACCAATGCCGATGGCAGCAGCAGCAAACGCAACGTGTGTCAGCCAGGACAATGTTACGGTATTTGAAATGCCCGGCAACACGACCACATGCATGCTTGCTCCAAGCACGTGCACCCACCGCTGCAGCCTCTACGACACATGCACGGACTGTGCGTTGGACGCGGAGTGTACGTGGTGCGCGACAACGGGCACCTGTGCGCGTGCCATCGACAATGCCACCTGCCCCACGCCTGTGGCCTCCACACTCGCCATGTGCCAGATCACTGATGCCAGCACATTAACGGGGCGCATGGGGTTTTCACGCTTTGAGCGAGCAAGCATGCCTGCCCGCGACAGCGATGTGATTGCGGATGTGTTCAACCCATCTGTTGGCGTTGCTGCATCGGTGGTCTCTGTTGTTGACGAGGCGAACCGGGTCTCAGTGCCGCGGCACACACTGTTCCTCGCCACCATCGTCGCCAGCGTCACGGGTGTGCACGGGTTTGGCGTGAAGAGCAACGATCCTGATGGGTTCTTCGGTGTGTGGGCGGCGCCTGAGGTGGCGTGGCAGAATGCAACCACTCCCCCGCAGGGCAGCCGTCTCTTGTTCGTGCAGCACACTTCGCAGACGCGCGGCATGGTTGTGTATACCAGCGTCAACATGACAGCAGGACAGCCGTATTACCTGGCGTTCAGCACGGGTGCCCGCGGTGGCATTCGATACGAGGCCAAGTTGGAGTGGAAGCAGCCAGCTGACGCTGCGTACGTGTGTTGTGTGTGTGTGTGTCATGTGTATTGTTTGTGATTGAGTGTGTATTTGTGTTTGCGTGTGTATTTGTGTTTGAGTGTGTATTTGTGTGTGTGTGTGTGTGTGTGCGTGTAGGGTGCATCTTTGTTTGTCTTGTTTAGCCTACTCGCTTGTGCTTGAACTTCAAAAGTCCATGTGCTTGCCTTGCGATGCGTGATGTTCCCCGTTCATTCCCTCTCTTATCCGATTCGCAACACACACACACACACATTCACATGCAGGTTTCGTATCCTAACCGCAGACGATGGCGTGCATCAGTTTCAAACGCGCGCATGTGCACGGCACGCTGACTGCAGCTCGTGCCTGTACGACGCTGCATGCTTCTGGTGCGATGGCCAGTGCCGTTCTTCCAATGACACCGCCACCAGCACTGCCAACACCACCACCACCACCACCACCACCACCACAAGCAGCGGCAGCAGCATGGCGTGTGCATCCGCGCCCGTTTTGTCCGCTGGTTTGTGCACGGACTGCAGCACAGCGCTCACGTGCCACGAGTGCGTAGACGATGCAGTCCCCGGCTGCGCGTGGTGGCGCGACACGTGCGTTCCGGTTGCTGCTGTGTCGGATAATTCGTCCACCACAGACGCGGCGGCGTGTCCCGCCCCCTGCAGCCGTCGGGAGGACTGCAGCGCGTGCATTGGAGCGGATGCCGGTGCCACATGCGTGTACTGCGAGTCAACGGCGTCGTGTATCGACAGGGCGACCTCCACAGCCGTCAATGCGTTTGGCCAGTGCCTCAGCTTTGCGTACTCTTCAGACGAGTCTTCACAGCCGTGTGCAAACTGCTCCGTTCACGCCACCTGCGATACCTGTCTCAACAAGCTGGGCTGTGGCTGGTGTGCTCACCCAGTAAGTGCACTCATCTCGCGTTAGTGTGTAGTGTGTGTGGTGTATTGTGTAGTGTGTGTATTGTGTAGTGTGTGTGCACCTGCATCTGTGCTTGTCTGCATGTCTGTGCGTGTTTACTTTGCATGTGTTTTCAACTGCTGATTTGTACATGCGTGTCTCATCAACTGGTGCTCGCATGTGTTCGGCATCATATCATGCTGGCAATCCTCGGCTGCTGTATTTCCTCCCCAACTTTATCACACACCATCACACCACCACCATTCATGATAGGACGATGGGGATGTGGGAGCATGCGTGAGTGGGGACTTTGACGGCCCTGCTGAGCAACAGTGTCCCCTCGTGTCGTTGCTTGCAAACACGACCACCAGCTGTCACAACGCGACCACCGCCGCAAACAGCACCATCACGACGCAGGAACCTACAACGACCGGCGGCAACAGTGCAGCAACGGCAAACACGACGACCACAGCTGCGCCGCTGTCCACGTCATCAACGCCGCTTCCACTGAACGCAACTGATCCCAGCTCCAACACCACAACCACCAACACGACAATGGATGCAGTTGCGTGCAGCGCCAACAACACGTATGTGCTTGAGCCTGCGCGTGGCGAGTTCTACTACCCGCACTGCCCGGATGTGGACGAGTGTGCACTTCAGATTGACGACTGTGGGCCCAATGCCGTGTGTCGCAACACCAACGCCAGCTACGTGTGCGAGTGCGAGCCTGGTTACGCCTCAGCATCGGTCCTGTTCCCCGGGCGGAGCTCCGCCCCCTGTATGCCGCAGTGCACGAATGCATGTGTGCACGGCACTTGCACAGCGCCTGACCAGTGCACGTGCGACGTGGGCTGGGCAGGTGCCACCTGTGACGTGGACTGCGGGTGCAACTTCAACGCAGAGTGCACCAACGCCACCACATTCGGCGTCTGTCCTGTGTGCCTGCACAACACCACAGGTCCGCAGTGCGGGACGTGTGCTCCCGGGTTTTACGGTAATGCGACCGACCCGGGTGTTGGCTGTCGTGCGTGCGAGTGCAACGGCAACGGTGACGCTGCAAAGGGCACGTGTGACCCATCAACCGGTGTGTGCTACTGCACCAACTACGCTGCTGGCGACAGCTGCGAGCAGTGTCAGCCTGGGTTCTACCGGCGCAACGGGCGGTGCTACGCTGGCTGCCGATACGACGACCGCGCCTACAACGCTGTCGGGTGGACGAGCCGCGTTGCGCTGGTGGAGCCTGCTGCCGGCTTTGGGACCCACACGGACGTCCGCAGCACCCACACCTCAGACACATCGTGCATGTGGCTGATACGTGCGCCCGCAAACCACAGCATTCGCGTCACGTTTGAGTTTGTCTCTGTAGAGTGTGCATACGACTACGTGCACGTGTTTGACGGCGCTGCGCCGCATTCGTCGAAGGTGCTGGCCATGCTCAACGGGGAGCTGCCCACAACAACCGTGTATTCGTACACGGGCGAGGTGCTGGTGGTGTTGTTCTCGGACATCAGCTACGAGCTGCGGGGCCTGGAGGCCACGTACGCCATTGAGGAGTGCCCTGCGCTGTGCTCTGGCCACGGGTCGTGCGATGGAACAGGCCGCTGCCGCTGCGACCCCGGCTGGTCGGGCGACGCCTGCGCTGCTGAAAACTGCCCTCGCAACTGCTCAGAGCACATGGGCCAGGGCACGTGCAACGCTGCGCGGACGGCGTGCGTATGCACACCTGGCTACACCGGACGCGACTGCAGTGCGCAGGAGCAACCAGGGGTGTGGCGCCCGCTCCTTGTCGGCAGTGCTGGTGATGCTGGTGATGCTGGTGGTGCTGGTGCTGCGGCACCTGTGGGGCGATCGGGGCACACGGCCGTGCTGAACGCCGCAGGCACGCAGCTGTGGGTGTTTGGTGGCCTGCGCGGCAATGAATACCTCGGGGACACGTGGGTGCTTGACTTGGACACGCGGGTGTGGTCGGAGTTTGAGATGGCGCCCAGCTCCCTCACACCGGCAGGGCGACACCTGCACGTGTCGGCGTGGTTTGACGACCGCTTGTTTGTCATGGGTGGCGCAACGGGGCCCGCCACATACACCAACGACGTCTGGCGTTTGTCGCTCGACAAGCAGGCCTGGACGCACGTGTCAACGAGCGGGGACGCGCCGCCAGCCACCGCAGGCCACTGTGCGGCTCGCGTCGACAACACCCTCTATGTGTTTGGTGGCCTTTCACAGGATGTTGGGTTGGCAGCGACGCTGTACGCGCTTGACTTGGGCAGCAGCGTGTGGACGCGGGTGTCGACGTTCGGGTCGCGGCCGGACGGGCACTTTGCCGCCACGCTCGTGCACGACGCAGCGCGCAACCAGCTCATCCTCTTTGGCGGGCGGCGGTACGTGTCGCCGGGCACGCTGCGGGACCCCGTGCGCAATGCAGTCATGCGCATGTTTGACCTCAGCACCAACGCGTGGCGGGTCGCATCAACAGCGCCCATCTTCTGTGAAAGCGCATCCTGCATTGCGCGCTCGCAGCACGCGGCAGCTGTTGTTGGCGACTACCTGGTGGTGCACGGCGGAAACCCGTTTCTGCACCGAACACAGAACATGTGCCACTCTGACGAGACGCTCATCTTCAACATCCCCTGCGGGAAGTGGATTGCAGACACCACGGCTGCGGCCGAGGCAGCTGCCACCTCAGGCAGCGATGGTGATATGACAGCATCGCTGGTTCCGCTGCTGCGGAAAGCGCACCAGGCCGTTGCTCTGCCGAGCGGTGAGGTGCTCATATTCGGTGGTGTCTCCACGTCCGCCCTCAACGACGTGTACGTGTACCGCCCGCGTGCCGAGTACTGCGCGTTCCACTTATCCGTTCGCAACTGTGATGACGACCCTTCGTGTGTTTGGAACGCCACCGCCAGTGCGTGCGTGGTGGCGTCGGGTGCGGGTCTGCGCAACTGCACCTCGCCCTTCACCGATGCAGCGGCGGCCCAGTGCACCGATCGCTCCCGGTCTCGTGGCCTCTTCTCCCAGGACGAGTGCCGCGCGTGTGTGTCACACGATGCGTGCGAGTACTGTCCCAGCACGACCAGCTGTGCGGCGACCAGCGACGCCGCTGCGTGCCCGCAGTCCTCGCCTGTGGTCTTTGATAGCTCGAGTGACGCGTGTGGCGACTGCTCCCACCTCATGACGTGCCGCTCCTGTCTCTCCGACCCAGCGTGCACCGTTGGCCAGGGTGTGTGCGCAGAGCGAGCAGCGCCGGCCACCACCCCTGTGGACGTGGATGCCGTGTGCCTCCCCTCCTGCACCGTTCACACCACGTGCGGCGATTGTGCGACGCAGAGCGGGTGCGTGTGGTGCGAGGGCACGCAGTCGTGTGTCTCCTCAGCCACCGTGACCACGGAGTTTGCGTTTGGACAGTGCTTCCGCTATGCGGGCGAGGCTTCAACGTGCCCCATCCTGGACTGCCAGGATGCGAGCGAGTGCGACGACTGCTTGGCCATGGCACGCTGCGGGTGGTGTGCGGACCCTGGCCTGAACGGCACTGGTCAGTGTCTCCAAGGAACACTCGCAGGCCCTGGTATCTACGCGTTCAACACCTCAAGCACATGCAGTGGTGCGCTGCGCAGCGTCGTTGGTGAGGCAGCCCTCGCCCTCCCTGCTGCATTTCGCAACAACGACGACGACGACGATAGTGATGGGACCGCCATCCTGGCGCGGGTGCCCGAAGACACGCTCAACCACACGACGTGGAACAGCATCGACTGCCCGGATGTGGACGAGTGTGCGCTTGGGACTGCGCTTTGTAGCGACATTGCTGTCTGCATCAATGAGGACCCACGCCTCGTGCCCGGCTCTCGCGGGTACCGGTGCCTGTGCCCGGCCAACTACACGCTGCTTGACGACGGGGTGACCTGCGCTGCGGTGTGCAGCACCTACGGTTGCGTGAACGGATTCTGCTCCCGGCCAGACGTGTGCGATTGCTACCAGGGCTGGTACGGGCGAAACTGCACCTCCAACTGCGGCTGCAACGGCCACTGCACGTGCAGCGATACCAGCGCGCGCAGCGCCTGTCTCGACAACACGGAGGGGCCGGACTGCGAGCGCTGCCAAGACGGGTTCCACGGCGCTGCCGAGGGTAACGGGACGTGTCTGTCATGCTTGCAGGTGTGCAATGGGCACTCGGTCCACTGCCGGCCCAATGCCGTGCCTCTTCCTGGGCAGGAGAATGAGCCCGTGTGTCGCAACTGCTCATACCCGTCACGCGGCAGCTACTGCGAGCAGTGCATGCAGGGCCATTTCCTGGATCCCGCCATTCTCAAGAGCGCACGCGACGCCGGGTTGGCGCCCCTGGACTACATTGAGCAGAATGCCAGCACCGTCAACAGCTCGTGCGTGCCATGTCAGTGCAATGGCCACAGCAGCGTGTGTAACTCAATCACGGGCGAGGAGTGCCAGTGCAAGGACAACACGCTGAGCTCGGCCAACAACTGCGACGAAGACGAGTATGGTTCGTGCTACCATGCGCAGTGCGACACGTGCATGGACTCGCAGTCCTACAGCGGCGTCGTGCTGCAGCTGTCTGGTGATCCGCGCGACGGGCGCCCATGCTTTGTCGTGCCATCTGCCGATGTTGCTGTGCAGCAGCAGCTGGGCCCCGGGGACCTCATCACATTTGAGATTACGCCCAAGTTCACCAACGTCAACATGCGGCTGTTTGCGGAGGTTGATCGCGCGCTGCCGTCGCGTGTGCGCATGTACGTGCTGCGTGACGCCAACGTGACTGTCGACGAGAGAACCCACCAGCTGGAGTTTGGGCAGGCGCCCGTGTTTGCGGAGGATGTGGAACGCCGCACCCTCTTCGTTGCAAAGTACAAGGCGTACCGGTTTGCCGAGGACAGATTCTTCGTTGCGCTGCACAACACGGGGGCAAACGCGACGTCTGTGCTGTTTTATTTTACGCAGCCTGTGGTGAGCATTGATCTTGTGGTGTTCTTCACCGTCTTCTTCTCCGCGTTTTTCCTGTTTGCCGGCGTTGTGATTGGCGCATCCAAGATCCACGTCGTCCTGTCGGAGCGTGCAACCACAATCCAAGAGCAAACACAGATGCAGGTGTGTACACACACATATGTGTGTGTGAGTGTGTGTGTGAGTGTGTGAGTGTGTGTGTGTGTGTGTGAGTGCGCTATACGCAACGCGCGCGTGTGTGGTGTATGTGAGGCGAATGCAGTGCACACATGCGCTTGTGTGTGTGTGTGTGTGTGCGTGTGCCTGTAAGCGTGCTGTGCTGTAGTGTCAGCGACGTATCATGCTTCTTGATGCGTTTTGTTTCTTGATGCATTTTGTTTGATGTATGCCTCTGTGCCACCACCGCACTCTCCCTACCTTTTCGCAACACGCAACTGATGCTTGCGCTCTGCTCCTGGTGATGGTGTTGGTGCAGACGCTTGCGCGACGGCCAATGGGAAAGCTGCTGCTGGCGTGGGGCCCTCCGGTTATTTCTGGCGACGCCGCCGTGAACGTGGCAAACGCCATCTCCACCGGCGAACTGCAGCCAACACCCATCGCCTCCCAGCCAACGCGGTGCGTGCCATACACTTTATGGTTGCAGCCGCCAACTTACGAGCGGCATTTTGATGTTCGTTTTCATTTCGCGCACGTGTTTTGACCCTGCTGCTCTTGTCATTCTTTGTTTGTATTGATGCCGTTGCTCATCACTGGCCTGCGTGCGCGCGTGTGTTGTCTATCTTGCAGGGGGAACCAGTCGTCGCTGGTGACAATGCTGGTGGAGCTTCCCAGCGGCACAGCTCATCGCAACCTGTCCCTGGCCACTGCAAACGTGCGCGTTCCACGTGAAGGCGGTGTGCGCAATCGTCGCTGGCGTCGTCGTCGTGGCGATGATGACGACAGCAACAACAGCAGCAGCATTTCAACTTCGCGCTTGTAACGACCCCGGTCGCACTGCACCTGTAATGCTGTTGTATCTGTGCGTGTGTGCGTGCGTGTGTGCGTGTGAAGTGTTAATTTTTATCTGGCGCCGGCCGCCAATCCACACCAGTATTTGTTCATCGCTTTCTTTGGTCCATGGCATCCGTCTTCACGATGCTGATAAGTTTGTTCGCATGGACCTCAATACACAATCCGATAACCGCAGCAAGTGATGGAATAAATCTCCCTCCCCCAAACACACATGTGAACTTTTACACACACACACACACACACACACACACACACACACACACACACACACACACACTACAGCTCGCATGCGAGAGACTCAGGGACCGTTTATGGATGGAAAACCAGGACACCAGGCAACACCGACAGCATCAACTCAGATCATGGTGGAGACGGGTGACAGGTGTCACACGCGGCATGAACGAGTGAGAGAACAGAACAAAAGAAGAACAAGAAGAAGACGACCACGTAACGGAGAGATTGCGCGCGCGCGCGCGTGTGTGTGTTGTTGTTGTTGTTGTTGTTGTTGTTGTTGTTGCTGCTGTTGTTGTTGTTGTTTTTCGTGTGTTGTTTTATCCCCGTGTGTGTGTATGTGTGTGTGTGTGTGTGTGTGCGTGTGTGTCGAAGACAGCACGTCGCTCAGGCGCCTACATCGAATGTGTGTCAGCCCTAACCATGCCTTGGGCGTATGATGGAAGGTTCACCCCTGTGTAGCGATCTGGATGCAAGCGGGGGAGGTAGTTCACGTGGATCTGAAATAAACATCACCAATCGTACACGAGGGCATGTGGTGTCGTGACGTGAGTAGAAGTGCATACCACACAACACAGAGCATGCAGGAAATTAGACGGACACACACACACACACACACACACACACACACACACACACACACACACACACACACACACACACACACTCACCAGGAATCCGACGAATTTGTCGAAGGAGGTCATGGTGACGGGGATTTCTGGGTCTGTGTGCGAAATCTCGCTGACTTTCTTCAGTGCACTCTCCAGATTTGCACTGGGTACGTTTCAAATGCGTGCATGTGGAGGAGAATGTAAGGGAGGACAGGGTGGTGATCACGACGGGCTGTTGCGCCGGAACATCATCGAAAAAAAGAGGGAGGCACGCTACATACAAGTGGCGTGCTCACAAACATGTACATTCAACCCAGCAAGCCTACACATACACATACACACACATACATCACACCCACACAGAGTGTCAAGGTGCTTACCAGGAGAGGGTGGCCGGCTGCGAGCGGGTGGGAAGGTCGTCAAGGACGAAATGCAAGAGCGGAAACAAGGAGAAGCTCTTGTCCCCCTGCTCAACAGCGCGCTTGTAGACGTCTTCACTCCAGGTGCGATACGGCTGCACGTCCACAACACACAACCACCCCGACAGCACAGCCGCGTGAGCCAAACGAAAGTGCCGTCTTCCAACAGCAGCATGGCAATGCATAGCGGTGGCGTGTCATGCCACTTACACAGCGTGGCCGAAATGGCAGAGCGTTCGTTCACAACTGCACGCCGCACCTTTTCGACGACATCAAAGCCATTGCTTCGCAACGCAAAGCCGAGTGTCCTGTAGGTGGGAATGGTGTCTGGTGTCCAGAAGTTGAAGCAGGCTCCCATTGGCTCCGTGTTCCAGCCCACCTCAACAATGGTGCGAGACACAAAGTCAACGCAGTGCATGTTGATGCGGCTGTGGATCGCCGGGTGCGAGCCAACCTCAACACACGCTTTCAAGAAGCGAACAAGGTAGTCGTCCAGATTCATCACACCGGTCCTGCTCGTGCGTGTGTGCATGTGTAATGTTGTGTGTGTATGCGCGTGTAATTGTGAGAAACACCAGTCACAACAACAACCACAACAACAGCAGCAGCAGCAGCAAGCAACAGCAGCACAACAACAACAGCAGCAAGCAACAGCAGGTGCTGAGCAACGTACGAGGAGTTGCCGAAAATGTATCCTGGGCGGAAGACGGTGACAGGAATGTTCCTCGCACGTGCTTTCTCGCACAGCTTCTCCGCAACCCATTTGGATTGCGCTGTCATGCCACCACACGCAGTGAGAATCAAAATCAGCGCATGTGTGTGTGCGTGTGAGCGTGTATGGGTGTGTGAGCGAGTGCAAGCCGAAAATAAGACTTTGCTGCATCGAGCATGGATGATATATACACCCACACCTCCCCGAAATACACTCTTCTTGGAAGCACCGCACACATTCGAGTGAGCACGTACCGTAGCCCGTGGTCAGTTCATCGCCAGCGATAAGCGGCGCGTCCTCGCTTACAACGCGCATTTGCATGTACGTGGGCCTGCCGCACGTTTGCACACGAGCATGCAGGCAGATAAACAGCAGGGGGATGCAAGGGAATGGAATGAGTTAGATAGGCATAGCAAAGGCGAAAATGAAAAAGAAGGAAGAAAGGTTGGCAAGGGCAAGAAAGGAGAAGGGGAGAAAGGGGAGAAAAGGGAGAAAAGGGAGGAAAAGGGAAGGGAAGAAAGGAGAAGGGGAAGAAAGGGGAAGGGATGGACAGAGAGGGCTGGGTGTCCGTGAATGTAGGCGGTGCACGCAAGGAATGCGTAAAGAGCGAAAGGAAGACGCCGCGTGCTTTGACTTACGAGTCATACACCGACGTCGACGACACAAAGATGACCTTGATCAGCTCTTCGCCTGTGCGCCCGTCATCATGCAAAGACCAGACATGGTAGGGATCAACAACGACTCATGATGTCAAGCCTAACAACACAACAAAGCCAAAAGGCAAGAACTCACAGACAGACAGACAGACAGACAGACAGACAGACAGACAGACAGACAGACAGACAGACACACACACACCGATGCAGGCGAGGCGAAGAATCTCCGATGTGCCCTGTACGTTGGCGGCCTTGAGCTTGGAGTATGGGTACACCCAGTGGACCATCGCGCCTGCGCATCAAACACAACAAGCAAGCAACCGGCAAGTACCATGAGCTGAAGAGATTCATGGAGACGCAGCAAACAGCAAAAACAGCCAAACAATCGCCCAGCATCGAACGTTGATCACACACACATGCATACATAACACGGTGGCAGTAAGTACGAACAGCGAGGGTGCGAGGTGCATGCCGATCGCTTTCTTTTGATCACGTACACAAACAAACATACACACACGCGCGCATACCGTTGTGGAAGATGCAGGTAATCTCCGACGCGAGCTTCTCAAAGGCCTCTGGGGTCAAGCCAAAGTTTTCCTGTCCCAAGTCGCCCACCAGCACAATGATGCGGCTCAGCAGCGACACATCATAGAGCGCGTACGCCCTACACGCAACAGAACATGACACGCACGGCAACAGCAGCACGGCGGGTGCGTGAGAATAAAGAACTGGTGAGGATAAAAGAAATTGATGAAGTAAACAGCTTTATCTCACAGCGGCCGAAATGCTCGTGTGTGCGTGTGAGTGTGTGTGTGCGCGCGCTGGTGTATGCGCTTGTGTGTATGTGTGCGTGTGTCATGACGTACTTGAGGCTGGCAACGATGCGGTGCAGGCCGTGCTCCTCGTTCTGTGCGCGAACGAGACAGATGACGCGTCCGCCTTTGGGCTCCGTCGCTGCAAGCAGATCATGCAGCAGGTGCGCTCCGAGGAACCCCTGTGGCATCACCGCAACACATGGATGACACTGTGAGCAAGGGCTGCTGCTGTGTTGTGACAAGGTGAAACTGCACAACCCGCGTGCACATGTGCATGTGTGTGTGTGTGTGACGTACCGTTGCGCCAGTGAGCAAGACGTTCTTGCCGATGACATTCTGGCGAACGCTTTTCCCGGATCCGTTGATGCGTGGATCCAACGCCGTCTCTGCCTCCAGATCAAGCGTCTCGTGATGGTCGCGCGAATGCGGCGACATGGTGCTTTCGTTCGTGTTCAATTCCTGCAATGCACAACAACGGCACAAAAACAACCCCAGTTAGGTGGAAACGGCTACTGACGAGTGGGTGTGTGCGCGCAAGTGGGACATCAGCGCTCACAGGTGAAATGCAGTTGCGCGCGGGGACTAAGAGCACATGTGTGTATGTATTACCGTAACAACGGTGGCGAGCGATCTGATTGTCGGGTACTTGTACAAGACATTGATTGGCAACTCCTGTGCATGTAGTGATGAACAACGTCAACAAGAACCAGGGCAGATGATGAGATGCACATCCAATACATCCGTGTTTGGAGTGATGAGTGACCAAGGGAGCCAGAGCAGCAACGACACGAAGGTGATTGGTGTACGCACGCGCACATGCACACCTGAAACAGGGCCGTTCGCAGCTTGAATGTGACGATGGTGGCGAGGATAGAGTGCCCGCCAATGTCAAAGAAGTTGTCATCAAGGCCAATTGGGCCATCTGTGGTGTGTTGTGGTGTTGATGATGAAATGGTGCGGGGCGTAAGAATGGCAGAACACTGGCATGTCAGCATGGTTGCCAGACGTCAGCACAAGCACCATGAGCAACACAAACAGGACGTGGGGCACTTCCATGTCAGTCACACGGCCTTGTTGTGTGTGCGTGTGTGTGTGTGTGCGTGCCCACCGAGGTGCATGGCGAACACGTCCTTGATCTTCTGCTCCGTCTCCGTCAGTTCGCGGTCAAGTGCAGCCTGTGGAATGAACAAATGAATGGGCACGCGGTGGTGTACGCAGTGCAATTGCGTCAGCGAAAGCGTTTGAGCGGGAGTGTTGGCATCCAAAGCAGGACGACAGATCATCGCTGTGTGTGCATTCAAAACAAGAGACCGCAAGGTTCAAAGCGACATGTGTACGTGTGCAGGTGTTGATACAAGCGCTGCCGCCCCGCAAGTGGCAAACCCGCATGCGGCGCACGGACCTCCTTATTGGTTCTGTTGAGAAGGATGATGGCCGAGTCTGGGAAAGGCAGACGCGACTTGTCGACTTTGCCGTTTGGCGTCAGCGGCATCATCTTCAGCGGATAAAACACTGCAATTCAGGGGAGGGGAAAGCACACAGACACGCACACGCACACGCACACACAGACACACAGACACACACACACGCACACACACACAGACACACACACGCACACACACAAGAGTTAGCTGCGAATCATGGCTGAGGCATGCTAGCAAAGGAAGAGGAAGAAAAAAATTATAAAATGTGGCGACCAACCAGAGGGCACGGCGTAGCCTGGCACGTGCTTCTTCATGTGCTCGCGGATCGAGGTAATGTCATACTCTCCGCTCTCCTGACAGAGACAAACGGGAACAGCAGGAATGATACGGCAGAAAAGTTGGCCGTGTGAGTGTGTGCAGACATGAGTGCGCCAAACCATGGTAAGGGACAAAGCCAAGGGGTGGTTGTTCAGTGGAGCGCAACAAGGGATGTGCCCAAGCGAGCACATAATGTGTATGTTAGAACTCCCAGTGTGCAAGTCAAGAGTACGCAGTGTGCGAGTCAGCGCACGTGTGGGACGAAGAACGCGACAATCTGCTTCTCCTCGTTCCGATCACGCATAACAAGCGTCTTGTTCTCGCGGACCTGTTACCCAGAGCAGCGTGGACACGGAAGCAAGTCCACAACGCAAAGCCACACTGCCGTGAGGTCCAGTACACGATACATGTGCGCAGGCGCATCGACAAAGCAGCAACAACACCACCACCACCACCACCGCGCACACCATGGACACCACCACCAACAGGGCAAAGCGGCAAGCGGCTCACGTGCGGGTGGCGGCTGAGGTGGCTGTCAATCTCTCCCAGCTCAATCCTGAAACCGCGAATCTTGATCTGGTCGTCGGCGCGGCCAATGCACTCCACAGACATGTCGCCATGGAAGCGCCCGAGATCCCCCGTGCGGTACAGCCGGTCCCGCGTGTTGTTCGTAAACTGCCCACCCAAACATGCACACACGCACGCACGTGTGCGAGAATTGAGTGAGGGAACACATTGCATGAGAGAGCGCTCGTGGAGGATAGGTGCTGTGGGTACAAATGTACTGTGGATGTGTGCGTCCAAGGCATGACAGCGCGGCGACACAAACAGTGCCTGTCGAACCGGGTTTACGATGAACTTCTTGTTTGTTTCCTCTGGGAGGCCAAGGTAGCCTGCGCTGAGGTGGGGCGAGCGCACATACAGCTCCCCGAGCTGGCCAACAGCGCACACGCGCATGTTCTCATCCAGCACTGTATACACATCAACAGCAAGTGGCGCGCAGTGAGCATCCGGCAATGTGTGGCTACACAGAGTGTGCGTGCCTGCCTGCGTGCGTGGTGTGTGTGTGCGTGTGTGTGTGCGTGCGCGTGTGTGTGTGCTCTGTGTGTGTGTGTGTGTGTGTGTGTGATCAGCACGGCTGGGAGGAACCGGCATCAGAAGTGTCAAGTGGGGCAACAACGCACCCAACAGCTCAACGTCTTTCATGCCGACACCAGCCGAAACAATCTGTGCATTGGCAAGAAGGAGCATGAGCAAAACCGAGTGGAGGTGGGGCACGGGAGCAAAGCCAGATGGCATGTATGAGCGAACAGTGTTGGTAGTTCTCGAAGGTACACGAAAGCGGCGAGGAAGCATTCGTCGCTTCATACATGGCTCAGAGGCAGGGTCACGAGAGCAAAGGCCAAAGCAAAGGCGGCAAAGTCAGGGATTGTTTCCCAAGTCAATACTTACGTCCTTCTCGCGCTGGATATCAGCAAATTCTCGCAGGCACTGCGGATCGTACAAAGTGCGAAACATGAGGAGCGGCATGCACAATAGCACACGTACACATGCATGCACACCAAGCGGTAGGCACCAAGCAACGGGGAGCACATGACCGTACCTTGTACGAGACAGCACGCTGCGTCTCTGTTGTGCCGTACATGTTGACAATCCAACACTCTGGCGCAAGTTGCTTCAGCCGCAGCGCATCTCGCCTTGCAAAAGGTTGCGGGGGGGGGTGGGCGGGGCGGCAACACGCAGGGTGAATATGCAGTGAGCAGAGCAGGGGTGTGTGTCCCGCAGCAAGGCGTGCGAGAAGAGGAGGGAGGAGGAGGAGGAGGAGGAGGAGGAGGGAGGGGGGGGAGGAGGAGGAGGAGGAGGGGGAGGAGGAGGAGGAGAAACAACAAAACAACATCAACAACATCAACAACAACAACAACAACTACTACTTAAACAACAACAACAACAACAACAACAACAACAACAACAACAACAACAACAACAGCCACGCACTTGGTGAGGATGTCGCCGACAAAGAAGACGCGTCGCAAGTCCTGCATGCGGACAAAAGCATTTGCCATCAGCAGCTGCCCCATGGCCGGCGTCAGGTGCATCACGGTCACTGCGCTCTTCACTGCCCACTCCGCAAGCGCGCCGGGATTGCCAATGTCGTCCGCTGTCGCCAGTAATTCGCGTGTGTGCGTGTGCGTGTGAGTGTGGGGGATGTAGATGGGTGAGAATGTGTGAAAGTGTGCAGATAAGAGCAGATCCAGCACATGTGAGCTTAGCAGTGCCTATGTGCCTGGACAACATCCGCACTTCCATTCAAACAGACACACACGCGCGCGCACACACACACACACACACTCTCTCTCTTTCTGTGCCTGTCTCTCTCGCATTTCGCTCGTTCTGAGACCGTGTGGGATGTGGATGGAAGCGCCAAAGAAGATTGGGGTGAAGACATCGCGCTGGATTGGGTCGTGCGCAATCCCAGACAGCATCGTAAACCTGCAGAGCATGGCCGCGGGCAATTGCAGTAGCGGCAGCAGATGTAGGGGTTGAAGGAGTGGCAACAGCAGAAGCAGCATCAACCGCGGTGAGTGTGGATACAAACGGAAACTGCGCAATGAGACGGCAGCAGTGACAACGACGGCGTTGGCGGCAATGGGCTGATCAGTGCAGGACCACCACAAGAACTGGGTGGGGCGGGGTGTCGACAAAGGCAGCAGCATACCTGTCATCGGCAGACAGCTTAAACTCCTGGCCCATCCACGGGTAGAAGTGTGTCAGTGACACGTGGCGCCCACGCACGCCTTTGGGCTTTCCAGTGCTAGTGGTGGACGAACACACACACACATCACATATACACAAGGGATGTGAGATGCGGGTACACTCAAGTCCAACAACAGCTGTACATGTTCACAAGTATGCATGTGTGTGTGTGTGTGTGCGGTTTTACCTGCCGGACGTGAATGAGAGCGTGGCAATGTCATCGGGCTGAACTTCCACTCCCGGGGACTCATCAGACACATCCGCGAGGCCTCCAAGCTCTGCCCAATTTGAAATGGGGTGGTAAAGTGAGTCACGAACGTGGAAGATGGGAATGTCCTGCGTGTGTACAGTGACTCACGAGCTTGACATGCACGAAACAAGCGCGAAGAGAAAGTCACCCGAGTCCAAACACACACACAAACACAAACACACACACAAACAAATACACACTTACAAGCACACACTTACAAGCACACACAGGTATGTACGACCCACCGCTAGGAGGAAGGAGAGTGTGCTGCAGCTGAATGTCCAACTTCTCTTCAATGTACTTCTGCACCTGTCGTGAGCGTACACCAGGCGTGAAGGCAGTGAGCGGCTTCACAATCATGGTAACGTGCAGTCACAGCCATGCGACATGTGTGTGTGTGTGCCTGTGTGTGTGCCTGTGTCTTGTTGCGTGTGGTGTGTGCGGGTGCAAGGGCGTGCATACCTCTGGGCCGAGCTGGCCGGCGGCGCTGATGATGACAATGGCGCGCGGCCGGGCCACGTCGAGATACGTCATCTGCATGCGGTGGGCGCCACCTCCCCATACCGTCAGCACATGCGCAACGACAGCTACAAAACATAACGATGCAGGGGGACATGCAGGTGTGCATGGGCAGGTGCGCTGGTGGCCAGACAAACCTGGCGAGTGGCCGGGTACGACGGGTCGACGATGGTCAGGGTCGCGCCGCTCTGCAATGGCACAGGGGCGACATAAGCACACACACACACACACACACACACACACACACACACACACACACACACACACACGTGAGGTGTTGTGACTGCGGTTGAGCACATGGGCGATGATAATTGCAAGCATGCTTGCTTGAATAACAACAGCCGTACGTGTGCACGTGTGAAGCGTGTTTGCATATGCATGTGGATGTGTGTGCATGTTGCATATGACTGGGCATGGTGATAGGGCGCACCTTGAGAACACCCATCATGCCAACGACGAGGGTTGGGCAGCGGTGTGCAAAGAGCGCGACAACATCGCCTTTGCCAATGTTCTTCGAGATGAGCAGGTTTGCAAGGCGGTTGCTCACACTGTCGATGGCCTGCCGTGTCCACATCATCGCATGCAGTGATGTGAGAGGGGAGCGGGGAGAGGAACACACAGCCAACGCAACATCCACGGTGAGTCATCAAGGTCAAAGACCCATGACGACACCTTGTACGTGTGTGTCTCGCCGTTGTAGAAGATCAGGGGCTTGTCAGGCGTAACGGCAGCGTGCTTCTCCAGGTATGACTACAGCCAAGAAAACCGCACAGCAGGTGCAGTGCGACGGGGACACAAACAAGGCACGAGTGTTAACAATTTGAAGATGAAGTCAACACGAAATGTGTGTGTGTGTGTGTGTGTGTGTGTGTGTGTGTGTGTGTGTGTGTGTGTGTGTGTGTGTGTGTGTGTGTGTGTGTGTGTGTGTGTGGACAATCACAACGAACGACAACGGGTAGTCGTGCATGCATGCACACAAAGATACAAAGACAGATGTGTGTCGATATGTGTGACTGAAGGTGACCGTACAAAAGCTGAGCCATGCCACGTATCGTCGAGTGGCAGTTTTGGGTTCGGCTGCTGCTTAGCCGTGTCCGACTTGCTCTCGACGTCACCGTCCACCAGCGAAAAATCAACAAGCTGTAACGCAAGCGGCACGTTCACGAGAACACACACACACACACACACACACACACACACACATGGCGCAGGTGTGTAAGCAAAAGGAGAATATGCAGCCCGCCATCACACGTGCATATATGCATGTACGTCAGCATTCATATTCAAACACATGTACACACAAAACAGCCGATGCGTGGGAAACGATGAGCGTGACATACCTTGGTGTCTCTCTGCAGGGTCAAAGCGTACCACGTGTGCATCACCTGCTCGAGCAGAGACTCACTCGACTGGCTGAGATACGCATCCTGCGCAGTCAAACACGCACACACACGCACACACACGTGCGTGTGTGTGCACCAGGAGCGTAATGGTAAGGCGGGCGGTGAGGGGAAGAAGTCAACGGCCACCGACAAGCAGTGGCATCTGGCAAATGCAAACAACCAAACCAAACCAAACCAAACCAAACCAAACCAAACCAAACCAAACCAAACCAAACCAAAACAAACCAAATCAAAACAAAACAAATACAAACACAAAACAAGGAAACAAGCAACACACCGCTGGGAAGCTGATGCCGAGCTTCTTTGGGATGAGACGCTGGGACTGGACGTCGAGGGGCAGCCGCCGGCTCATGAGCCACTGAGCAGCAACCACAGCCAAGGCAGTTGGGGGGGCGTGGACATGTGAGGAACGCGGGTGGCGGAGTTTGCAAGGACGCAGGTGTGCGCTGGGAGTGTCATCAAGGTGGAGAAGAGGGTTGGCACGCGTGTCTCAAGGGCAGCTCACATCAGAGATTGCGATGAAGGCGAGAGACGGTTGCAGCAAGTTGAAGCGGTCCACGCCTTCCCGAAAGCGCGGGACAATGCACAACTGTTCACGTGTTGCATCCATGTATGCTGTCAACGTGAGTGCACATCTTGGGCCTGAGTGTGTGTGCATGTGTGTGTGTGTGTGCATATGTGTGTGAAAGTACAGGGAGTGCCACGAGGACCTTGCAGAGGTTGCGGAAGTGGCGTCCGGCGTCCTTGCCCTTTGAGTCGAAGTAGGCCACCAGATCCTGTATGGGAACCTCCATCTGTCACGTGCGGGAGAACGCGCACGCATGCACACCCGCGTATGGGAGGCGTTGGTTTGTGAGCTGCAACAGTGCAGATGGGTTGCGGTCGACAACATCAACACAAACAGCCATTGGGCGGGAAGCCTTCCTGTCGACACACACACACACACACACACACACACACACACACACACACACACACACACACACACACACACACACACTGAGCGCCACACCTCTGCCGACTTGGCCATGGCGCGTGCGACAGCGTCCATTGCTTCCTGGACCGTCATGTCCGGCTAGTTGGGAAGAGCAGTGAGTTCGCACCAGGCATGAGTGTGTGCGTGTGTGAGAAGCGCGCAAGTGCGGTTGAGCATGTGCGAGGCGATCCATCGACAGGGCTTGTAGTGACAGGCAGTACTGGCAAACACTGCGACGGATGTCCTTGTCGACATGCCATGGTAAACACGCAAGGCATGAGTGCCGCACCTTGAACTGAATCAGGACCGGCAAGAAGTCGGGCGGCGTCGTCATGTGCATGACCACAAAGCAATCCTCGCGGGTTTGCTGGGGGCGGTGCGTGTTTGTTTGTGTGTGTGCGTGTGTGTGTGCATGTGTGTGTGAAGGTGGTGTGAAGTGGGAAAGCATGAAGAAATGGGTGTGAGACTGTGTAAGGAGGGAGAGGACGGGGACAGCAGACAGACGCTGGGATACAAGCAAAAAGACAGTACCAGCAGGCAAATGGATAACACAGGGTCATTCGAGCCTCACCTTGTGGATGAAGACGGCAAACGCCGTGAGAAGGAGAAGGTCGTGGTCCTGCAAATGCTCCGCAAACATCTGGATGTACCTGCGCGAGATCTGCTTGTCGTAGACGGTGAACATTGTTTCCTGGCGAGACCGGTCACCGTTCAAACATGCATCGACAAGAGGCGTGAGTGTGCAGCAGAGATGGCATATGGCGCAAGCATGAGTGGCGCAACCGTGCGCGGTGTATCATCAGCAGAGGTGGCGCACAGTACTGTCGAGAGCGCTTTGCGCGCGCATTTTCACCTCGGAGACGGTGTGCGGGAACTCCGTGTAGACTTGTGGGGCGGTCGCTGGTCGAAGGTGTGTCTCCCACCACTCCAAGCGCGCCTGCCATGAGGGCTCATGCTTGCGTTCATCCTGCGGAGGCTGCTCTTCCTCCGCTTGCTGCCCTTGCTGTTGCCCTCGCTGTTGCTGCTGTGCCTGCTGCCCTTGCTGTGCTTGCTGCTGCTGTTGCTGTCCTTGCTGTCTTTGCTGCCCTTGCTGCCCCTGCTGCCCCTGCTGTTGTTGTTGCTGCGCCTGCTGCGCTCGTTGTCGATTGGCGTCCGCCATGACGATGTTCTGTCGATGGATGCGATGTCACACTGCTGCTCACGAATCCACTGGCCAGCCGCAAGCATTGATGGGAATCTCCTTGATGCGCACTTGAGATAAATGATACTGCGCAAGTACACACGCACACGCACGTGTGTGCACCAGTGAACCTGATCTGATGTTGTCCTTGAGCAAGATGCACCACTGAAAACACACATGCACCCACAACAGACGTCCTCCCTCCTGCTTTTTGTGTGCCGTGTCTTGTTTGTCTTGTTGCTGTAACTGTTTGCTGGTTGTGCGCGTTTGCGCACTTTGTGTGCCGCGTGTTTCAAGTTGACAAGAAAGATGCACAAAACCCTCAATTGTCGAGCAGGTGCTGCTCCACGTGTTGGGTGTTGACAAGGGCCGGTGATGGTGGGTCAGTGTGGCTGTGGCGTGCGTGCATGGCACAGCAGCCCCGTCATGTCATGTGATGTGACGACCAGGAATGGGTTGTGGTGGGTGCCGCGCATATGGGGGTGCAAGTGTTATGCAATGCCAGCGGTGGCGATGACGGTTTAATGAATGATGCGAGGGGAAAACACGAAAGCCACAGACCAAACATGCGTGCATGCGTTTGTGGGAGAAGGAAGCATCAGGCAGAGCACCACATGTTACACAACAGCAATCACCGTCATGTCGGCTCATCGGAGCACCAGGAGCGAAGGGAGCACATTCTCAGGCAAGGCGTGGTGGTGGCGTAGTGGTGAATGTGAAGAGGTGGCAGAAAGCATTGGGCGTGGATGGGTACGTGTGTGGACGAGAAGCGTGGGCCTTATTTGTACGTTGGGGCGACGTATGTGAATCCTTCAAACTCGGCCTGGTCAAGCAAGGCGATGCGGTTTGGATCTGCGGGCGTGATGCCCGGCTTCTCGCTCAAGAACTCCGCATCAAAGTTGTCCGTCGCAAGCTGGCTCTTCTGCTCACGAGGAAGCGTGTATGTGTGTGTGTGTGTGTTGTGTGTGTGTGTGTGTGTTGTGTGCGTGTGTGTTGTGTACGTGTGTGTGTTGTGTACGTGTGTGTTTGAGAATGGGTGGGTGAGTGGACAGAGAAAAGAACACACACACACACACACACACACAAACACACACACACACACACACACACAAAATACACAAACACAACGGGCCTACAGGCCGCCTTCGTGGGTCCCCACTCTTTCCCCACTCTTTCCCCACTCTTTCCCCACTCTTTCCCCTCTGTTTCCACTCTGTTTCCCGCACCCACACACTTATGCACTGCACACACCAGCTTTGGTTTGAATGGAGGCTCCATTTCGCGGCGCTCAAGCTTGTCCCAGTCGATGGGGTGGAAGAACGGATGGGCCTTGATGTCCTTCTCTCCCTTGGGGCCGCAGCCAAGCCGGCAGTCACGATCCTTCTCAAGCAGCTGTGCGCACACACACACATATGTAAACACACATGCACACACATGCACGCAGATGAACAGGCATCAAGTCGAATGAGTGCAAGGGAAGACTCTGTGTGTGTGTGTGTGTTGCACGGCTCGCTAAGGTGCCTGTAAGCACAGAGCATGCCGAGGCTGATGAAAATGGCAGAGGAGAACGAGGAGAAACAGAGGATGGTGGTCGTGGTGATGGTGGTGGACGTACGCCACGGATGAGCTGGACGGCCTCCTTGGTCAGCCAGACGGGGAACAGCACTTCGTTGAACTGAATCGACATGAACAGGTCCTCCTCTGTGGCGCCGTCAAACGGCGGCTGCAAGACAACGACAGCAGCGCATGCACACATGCACACAACGACGCGTGAGGTGCCGTAATGACGCGTGAGGTACCATAACGAGGTCAACGGCCACAAACACATACGCACGCGCAGCTGACCATTGCAGCGAACACACACACACACACACACATGAACACTGCGTCTGCAGAGAGCCAAAGTACAACACAAGATACACACACACACAGCTACCTGTCCCGCGAGCATTTCGTAGATGAGGACGCCGAGAGCCCACCAGTCGACAGAGGGGCCATAGGGCTTCTCCTGGATAATCTCAGGCGCAATGTCTGCACAAACACAGGCGCCACAACGCAGCGCAGCGCACGTGCATGAGCAGCGTTGATTGGTGAAAACGGCTCTCCGATTCACACGCAAGCGTACAGACACACAGACACATACACACACACACACACACACTCAGACACACACACACGCACAGACACGCACACACACACACAGGTGACTGACAGTCGGGGGTGCCGCAGAAGGTGGTGGCAAGCTTGTCTCCGACAATGTTCTCCTTGCACATGCCGAAATCGGCCACCTGGCAAGCGACAGCAGCCCAGGTGCAGGGAACGTTGCAGTGTGGGCCGTTAGCCACACAACCAGGCAGCAATAGACCAAAGACGCACAACACAAGCAAAAGGGCATCCACACATGCACAAGGATAGGTGCACGTAAACAAACACACACGCGCACGCGCGCGCGCGAACATGCACCTTAACGTGGCCGTCTGCATCAAGCATGACATTGTCGAGCTTCAAGTCCCTGTACACGATGTTGCGCTTGTGCAGGAAGAGGAGTGCGCAGACAATCTCCGCAGCGTAGAAGCGCCCGCGCGCCTCAGGAAAGCGACGGCACTGCACACATGCACGCACACACACACACAAGCACACGCACATGCACAAACACACACGCACACACGCATCGCATGCATATACACATGAACAATTTGGTTTAGACAGCAGGAGGGCGAGATGAGATTAAGACGAACAAATGTTGAATGGAACGGGCCGAGCCACCACGCTCACAACAGTTCCATGACACGCAGCATGAGACACAGCACATAACACGATGCAGAGTAGCGTGTTCCGTCGATACAAAAACGAGTGCTGCGGACCTGTTGAATGTGGAAGAGGAGATCACCGCCACTGACAAACTCCATGACGTAGAACAAGTTGCTCTGTAAACAATCCAACAAACCCATGGCACGAGCACCAGGCGGTCAGCAGCGACTATGATGGGGGGGGGGGCGCAACGCAAAGGTGTGGGCGCGGCCAACAAGTGTGATGGGTGGCAAGGGCATGAATGGTCAAAGAACAGCATCGCGTGCACGTGTATACACGCACGCACGTACGCACACACGCGCAGACACGCATCACGCACCGCTGTTTGGAAGCAGCAATGCATGCAGGTGAGGAACGGGTGCTGGTGGGAGAGGGAGAGAACACGCTTCTCTGCAATGGCGCACTCCACATCATCATCTTCAACCAGCACGTCCTTCTTCAGCAGCTGGTGCCACAACAGTGACGAGGGGAGGGGAGGGTGTATTCATGCAGGTGTGTGTGAGCATGTACATGTGTGAGCATGTGTGTACTTGTTTGTACATGTGTTTATGTGTGAGCAAGCGCACATGTGTGCATGTGCGCACGTGTAAGAATGAGGGAAGGCAGCACTGTGGTGGCCATCGCGGCGGCCAATGAGGCGTGATGGCCATGCAAGCACGCCAACGTGCGCGCATGCGGGGCAGTTGCGCGTGTACCTTGACTGCAAAGATACCCTTGCTCTTCTTTCCGCGTGCAAGCATGACCTTGCCGAAGCTGCCCTTGCCAAGCACCTGCACGAGCCGGAAACAGCGACAGCGGTCGTCAAGTAATGAAACAAGCACAGAGACAGACAGAAGGAGCGAGACAGCGGTAGAGACAGACAGACAGAGACACAGAGAGACGGAGAGACGGAGAGATAAACAAACCTGGCACACACACACACTCTCTCTCTCACTCCTTCACACACACACACGCGCGCGCGCGCGCAGCACGGCACGGCGCACCTTGAGGAACTCAAAGTCATCTGGGCCGACGGCGTTGCTGCTCTTGAGTTCAGATGTTGGCGCAGACGTGCGCGCTTCGGTGTCTTTGCCCTCGCTGCTCGCAGTCAACACGAAGACAAGATCGCATGAGCACACCACACACAATCCCCACAGAGACCCATAACAACGGAGGGTACAGTTGCTCCAAACAAACAAACAAACAAACAAACAAACAAACAAACAAACAAACAAACAAACAAACAAACAAACACAACAAACAAACAAACACACACACAGTGTGGAACGCACGTGGGCTTGCGCCTGCCGCTGAGCTGCTCGGCGGTGAGGCCAAGCTTCGCGAGCTCCGAGGCAAACTTGCTCTGGTCAAGGCCGCACAGGTTTGGACAGTGCTCAGCACACCGGCGGTGCACGTTCGTCTTGCACGCTGCATGAAGACGAATGGAGACAAGTACGAAGACAAGCGGGAAGGGGATTGGGCGAGTGGCGGTGATGGTGGTTTGACACGGTGAGAGGGTAAAACGGGCATGCTGATGCGAGTGGTGAGTTTGACACAATGAGGTGAGTGGTGCATGTGACGTGGATAGTAAAGTATTCGGAGGAGAGGAGGGGGGTTGCGGACGCAGGTCGATGAGACGTTTAGGACATAGGGGAGGCAGGGAGGGAGGGTTGCAATGGTGGCTTGGCCACACTCACATCCGCACTGGAGGCCTTGGTGGTAGAGCCCCCACAGCAGCGAGCCGCAGTGGTCGCAGAAGGTTGGAGACTTGTACGTCTTGGGCTTGAACCGGTGCGGAATGTTGAGGTTGAAGCGCTGCTGCAATTGCTGCACGTGTTTGTTTGCACGTACCAAGACAGGGGATGGGTGGCGGCGAAGAATACATGCATGAGCCAGTGTGTGTGTGTGTGTGTGTGTGTGTGTGTGTGTGTGTGTGAGGTGAAGGGAGCATGCAACAAACGTAGATGCGCGGAAAGCATACCTCCTTGTTCTGGCGCATGCTCTCCTGCATGTGATCAGCGCCGGGGCACGCAGCGAGCACCTTCTCATGGCAGCGCTTGTGGAGAGTCAGCTTGCAGTCTTCGAAGAGCAGGATAATAACAGGGGCGGGTGGATAGCAGAACGACGGCAAGGGCGGTGAGGATCAAGGTTTGGTGAAGAGGCACAAGGCAAGGGTGATGCAAATTCATGCAATGAGCGAACTGCTGTAAGGCAGGCACTCGCTGACACAGGTGGGTACTCAGGCAGGAGGATTCCAAGGACCAAAATCTGCATGCAGACGTGCGTGAGCAGCGTCACACGTTGCGAAACTCACTCAGGCACTCGTAGCCTTGCTTTCCCAGGCCCCACATGAACTCCTTGCAGTGGGCGCAGAAGGTTGGCTGGCGGAAGAAGCGGGCGCAGAACTTGTGGCCATTCACCTCGTGCACCTTGCGGCGCTTCATGGCGCCGATACGGCGCGGGGCCTGCTTCTTCTCCACAAAGTCTGTGTATGCATGCGTGAGAGTGTAAGTGCGTGCGTATGTAAGTTTGCATGTACGTGTGCGTGCGTGCGTGTGTATGTCGTCCCAGAGGACAGCACCACATAAAAGGAGGTGGGCGGGCGTCAATGGCCATGTGCGTGGATATGGATGGAGGAAAGGGGGGGGGGGGCGTGTCATGGCAGCATGATGTGTGTGTGTGTGTGAGCATGTATGAATATGTCTTTCTGTCCGTCTGTGCATGCGCGCGCGCGCGTGTGTGTGTGTGTGTGCTTGTGCTTGTCTTTGTCCATGTGTGTGTGTGTGTGTGTGTGTGTGTGTGTGTGTGTGTGTGTGTGTGCGTTGAGTGTTGTTGTGTGCGCTGCGTGGACGTTGGTTCTCGGTCATAACCCGAGCCACATCACTCACGCACATACACACGATCCACACAAATCGTCGTCGTTGTTGTTGTTGTTGTTGTTGTTGTTGTTGTTGTGTGTGTGTGTGTGTGTTGTTTTGCTTTCTCCTCTCCCTCTCTGTGTTGCTGTTGTTTTGGCATGTCACGACTACCACTACACACGACCACCACGACCACCACACACGCTCCTTGTCCTTATGCTTCGACTTACCACCCATGGCTGGCTCGTCTGCTGCTCGCTGACGGCTGTTGTTGTGGTGGTCGTTGGCAGCGCAAGGTGAGTGTACTCGCTTGGTGAGCAGGACAACACGGAAAAGTGTCGTTTATTATTCGTGAATATTCGCCGTTCCTCGCCGTCGTCACTGCGACACTGCGACACTGCGAGATGCCACACAACACAACACATGTACACAAACTCTCTCACAACACATGCACACACACAGACACACAAACGCACAACACATGTACACACAAACTTCTCTCACAACACACACACACACACAACACACAGCACGCTATGCTTGCTGTTGTTGCTGTTGCTGTTGTTGCTGGGCGTGCACCTTGTCACGAAATGCGGCGTATGTGTCACAGCCAACGACTGGAGCGACCACTTGCTTCCACTTGGCATGGATGTCGGCCAGCACCTCTGCAGGCAGCGTCTTCTTTGCAGCGCCGCTCTCGCCGCGGTTGATCTTGCCGTGGCGCATCCCGGCGTCCGGCGGCAACCCACAGGCGGCGTTTCGCCGGAGCTTGCTCAGGTGCTCATCAAACTGGGCCTCGTGCGCCTTCATAAACTCAAAGGAGGAGTGCTCCACAACCTTGTCGATGAGGGCGTCGTCTGCATCGGGGATGCCCATAAACGCGGCGACGCGCTGCACAACAGAGCGCAGGTCCTGCTTCATGTCCTCGAAGAAGACCCAGAGAACGTCGTCGCGGCCCACGTGCTGCCACCAGGAGATGAGGTGGTGGAAGTAGCTTGCGTTCTGCATCTCGGACTCTGGCACGCCGCGCGCAAGCCAGAACTCGCGCACAAACTCCTCCAGGCCAACCTCGCCCGGCTCGAAGAACCAGTCCTCAAAGAACTTGTAGAAGGAGAGCGCGACGTCCGCAGGGTCGCGCACAACAACAATGTACTTGCCGCCCTTGGGGCAGTGGTCGTACCAGCAGTGGGTCTTGAAACACCGCGGCTGGGCCACCTGCGGCTCCTCCAGGTCCTGGCCGAGGTCATGTGCAAGCTCGATCCAGGGCACCACGGCGCTAATCTCCTCAAAGTCCATTGATCCTCGTGAGCGCAGTTGGTGACAGATCTGCTGCATCCATGTGGTTCCCGCCTTTGGCGTGGTCACAATGAACACATCCCCTGCGTTGGGCTGGAACCCCAGGCCCTACCGTAGCAAACCAAACCAAACCAAGCCGGCAGAGGTAGTAGTTTAGGTGGTGGTGGTGGTGGTGGTGGTGGTGGTGGTGGTGGTGGTGGTGTGAGATGACAGGCTGGGTTGCGCACTGGGTTGCACACTGGGTTGCACACTGGGTTGCACGCTGGGTTGGTGAGTGGGTTGCCCGCTGTGTTGATGAGTGGGTTGCACGCTGGGTTGCACACTGAGTTGCACGCTGGGTTGCACGCTGGGTTGCACGCTGGGTTGCACGCTGTGTTGATGAGTGGGTTGCACGCTGGGTTCGCGAGTGGGTTGCACGCTGGGTTGCACGCTGGGTTGCACGGCACGCTTCTTCACTCCTGGTTGTTGTGAATTGCTTGCTTCCCACCCACAAACACTCGTGCGCAGCCATCAGCAATAAACCGCCCCCCCCCCCTCCAGCGTACAGAGTTACAGAGTCGCAGCCAGTAGCAATAAACCCGCCCCCCCCCCCCCTCCAGCGTACAGAGTTGCAGAGTCGCAGCCAGTCGCAAACGCACCTTTCGCCTTCCAGCCTCTGTCTCAAACCCGGAGAGCCGCTGCTTCACCCGCTTCACAGCCTCGCTGCTGCCTTGCTCCAGACTCCGCTCCAGTGGCATGCCTGCGTTGTCCTCCGCCGTCTGTCATGCGTTGCAAAAATCGATCGACTTGGAGCAATTTGGCACCTGCAATTTGCAAACCCTCCAGCCAAGCAAGACAAGCCAAAAGACAAACACACACACAACAAAAAGGCAGGCACGTGCCTCCATATTTTGTGGAGGGATAATCAGGGCAAATTTTCAGCTAATCTTCGCCAAGCACACCACTTTTTGGAGAAAGCCGGGGGTGTTCTCGCTGCAGCTGCTGCGTCTCTTGCTTGCCCTCGCTCCGCTCATTCACCCCCCAGATACACGCACAGACACACACGCGTCATCAGCCACAAAGCAGCGCCGCTACCACCACCGCACCTCGTCTTCCCCCATACACACACGCAAACCGACACCATGTCTGGAATTGACTGCTCCAACCCCGACTCCATGGATGTGCGCATCTATGACACCACCGTCGAGGGTATCTACTGCCCAACGTACTCGTCGTTCTTCGGCGTGATGGGCGCCACCGCCGCCATGGCTTTCAGCGGTGAGTCGTGTGGTGTGATGATCTACAGCAGGGACTGCCGTTGTTGTTGTTGATAGTGATGTTGATGATGGAGTGGCGGGCGGGTGATGGTTGATGGTGACACCCACCACGACACCGACGACAACAGCGACAGCGGGAGAAGGGTGTAGTGTACAGCACAGGGGAGGGTTAGAGCAAGAGAGTTGGGGGGGGAGTTTTTGAGTGGAGAATGTGAGAGAAGAGAGAGTGTGTGTGCGTGTGTGTGTGCGTGTGCAGAGGCGGAGAGAGAAGGGAGTGGAACATGTGTATGTGTGAGTTTGCAGCAGCAGTGCAGGCGCCTGTCACACGTTGTGGACAATGTGAACGACATCGGCCACCAACAACTGCATCAGCAACCACAAACAACACCACCAACAACAGCTTTTCACTCCTACATGCACATGTGCATACCCCTTTGATGACAATGTCACCACCGCCTTCCTCACACGTCGTTCTTGCTTCTCTCGGACCCCCACTCTTCCCCACCGCCACACTGATAACAGCTCTCGGTGCCGCGTACGGTACTGCCAAGTCTGGCACCGGTATCGCCGCCATGTCCGTGCTCCGCCCCGAGCTCATCATGAAGTCCATCATCCCCGTTGTCATGGCCGGTATCATTGCCATCTACGGTCTCGTCGTTGCTGTGCTCATCTCCAACGGCATGGGCAGCGCATCCTCCTACTCTCTCTTCAGGTGCGTCAGCTCAACAATCCATTTGCTGGCAACGCCCGTCGTGCTCTGTGTCATGAACCGTTGCTGTACCCCAGCACATACGCACGAACACACACATACCTTGCTCACTTGTGTGACATGACAACTCGCATGCGTAAGTGACTCATGCGTCTCTCCCCCCTCCCTCTCTCTCTCTGTGCTGATTGCCCCTTGCTGTCGTGCGTGTAGTGGTTTCATCGACCTCGGTGCCGGTCTTGCCGTCGGCATCAGTGGTCTTGCTGCTGGTTTCGCAATTGGCATTGTTGGTGACTCTGGCGTCCGTGGTACTGCACAGCAGCCCAGGGTATGTTCCCGCCGCCTGCTGCTGCTGCCGTTGTTGTTGCTGTTGTTGCTGTTGTTGTTGTTGTTGTTGTTGTTGTGTCCAGTGGTGTTCAGTGGCGCTCTTGGTTGCTTGTTTTTGTGGTACTTTTGTCGAGTGAGACGCGATATCACATGCGGTGGTGAACGGCGTTGTCCCTTCCGACCAGCAACATATCACTCGCTTCGCTCGCTCACCCAGTTTCTCCCCATTGCTCCCTGCTCAATCCACAGTTGTTCGTCGGTATGATCCTGATTCTTATCTTCGCTGAGGTCCTTGGTCTCTACGGTCTCATTGTCGCCCTCATCCTCAACACAAACAGCGGCAGCGGCGAGTGCCACGCAGACTGCTTCAACCCTTGCACTGGCAAGCCATGCGACTCGAAGTAAGAAGTCTCCCCAGTCCCCCTATCTCCACCAACAACCAAATACAACCTTTCAAACCAGTCCCTCTCCTCCTCCTCCTCCTCCTCCTCCTCCTCCAGCAATGACGCTTGTTCATCGCCACTGTTTCATACATATACTCGACACTATCCTTTCGCCTTTCCCTCTTCCACCTCCTGCTCCTCCCTTTTTTCGTTTTGCCCTCCTGGCATCTCATCGAACCCTAGAGACAAACAACCGCTTTGTCGTTTCTTGTCTTGTTCTTGTCTTTGTCTGCCTGCAACACACGTGTGTGCCTCTGTGGCAGTAGTGCAAGCGTGTGCGTTTGTCTCAGCCCCACAATGCGCCCATTTCGTGTGCTTTGCTTTTTCTGTCTCGTCGTGTGTTTTTCCTTCTCCGAGGTTGTGATGCTGTTTACACCCTTCTCTGATTGAAGTGACGACCCAAGGTGTCTGCCAAATGCGGCCAGCACTCACGGGCAGTCTACAATAAATCAACCACTCAAACACAAGTTAAACAGAGAGCGAGAGAGTGTGTGTGCGGTGGGGGATGGGGGTGTTGTGGCCTAGGAGTACGGCTGCAACGGCAGCTGTTGTTGCTCCTGTTGCTGCTGTTCTTGCTGTTCTTGCTGCCGTGCTTGGCGCTGCTGCTGTCGCTGCTGGTGTTCCTGAACGACATCCAGCCACAGCTTCTCAAGCGCCGCCGCGTCGCTGGGTGCAGTGGTGTAGTGGTGCAGCAACAACAAAAAACGTGAGTTGGTGAAGTGCAAAGCACGTGAGCTCACACACACACACACACACACACACACACACACACACACAGAGAGCAGGTGCAAGCACACATCAAACATACTTGCACAACTGAAGAACACTGGCCAACACGTCCGCATCCTCTGACGCGAGCAGATGCACATCCCGGTCAGGCAGCCTCATGTTGCCGTCTGTACATGTGTGTGTGTGTGCGTGTGCGTGTGCGTGTGTGTGTGTGTGTGTGTGTGTGTGAGTGTGTGTGTGTGTGTGTGTGTGTGTGTGTGTGTGTGTGTGTAGTGTGTGTGTGTGTGTGTGTGTGTGTGTGTGTGTGTGTGTGTGTGTGTGTGTGTGTGTCGCGCACTCACGGCTCTGAATCAGGCACTCAGAACCAACGCTTACCATTGCCGTGCAAGTTGGCATGATACACAAGGAACCACCCCGTGGTGGGAAGCTAGCACAGTGTTGAAGTGCCCAGGTGGTGAGCAAGACAAGCGTGAGTTCAGCATATCGGCTGTGACCTCTCGTGACAGCACACATGCAAACACACGCACACACACGCATACACTCACACGCACACACACGCGCACACACGCACATACACACACACCTGCATGATCGCGCAGCCTGAGGAGTGGACGAATTGTGTCTTGCGATAGGGAGGATTCAGGCGGGGTGACTCGCTCGCTTCCCGCTCATCAGGCGTCTGTCACCCAACCAGAGAGAGAGAGAGAGAGAGAGAGAGAGAGAGAGAGAGACAGACAGAGACAGAGACAGACAGACAGACAGACAGACAAGAGGCAGACGCAGAGACACAGAGAATGTGAGCGCCCGCGTGTGAGTGTACGTGAGTGTGTGCATGTGAGTGTGATTGTGCAACTGGCACCGCGAGCTTGCACAGACTGGCCAGGCTTCGCCCTGCTGCTGCTGCTGCTGCTGCTGCTGCTGCTGCCAGCAGAGACGTCTCGCAAGAGCACACTACCCGGCAACACAGGCTTGCCGACCTCTTCCGCAGTGTTCATGTCCAGCAAGAATCCAAGCGACCGCACAACACGCGTCTGTACCCCCAAATGCATCAAGACATGCAAGCCGGTGTGAGGGGCATGGGACAGCATGGAGATTGCAAACAACCTGCTGCACGTCAAACAACCACAATCACACACAGGCAACTTACACCGCAGACACCACACCGCATGGCACATGCAGCCCACAAGTTTGGCTCTGCCATGACGCACAAGGAAGAGAACTCGCAGCTCAGCGGCATCTGTGCCTGGCGTGTGTAGTCTGCTCAGCGATGAGGACGAAGATGAGCGTGGGTGTGCCGTGGCTGTGGCTGTGGCTGACGCTGTCTCCAGGTCCGTTGCAACCATGCCCGCTGGCGTTGGCGTCGCTTCTGCCACTGCGGCAGTCGCAGTGGTCGCTGCCGGCGTCCATGCGAGCTCCAGACAACGCGGGACACGAAACGGATTCTTGTTGCACCGCTCGTGGGAGAGCTGGTCCACGCCCATCTTGTACAGCGCATACGCTTTACCCATCCCAGGATGCAAGGGCTGCCGTCACACCAACAATGGCAGGTGAGACGCTCGGCATGAACACGCATGAAAGAGCACCAACGCACACACCATCAGCACGCTCACTTCCGGTTGAGCGGACACCACAAGCAAAAACAAACAAAGCAAACACGCACACACACGCACACACCAGTCCAGCACGACAAATCTTGATGAATTCCGAGACAAAGGCGCCCGTGGCAACAAACCACTGCACTTCCATATGAAACGCGCGAGATGGGTGATAGCACCTGCGAGAACACATGCAGTTGGCGCACGGATGGCGTAAGATCAAACCGACCACAATGAGTGTGTTGTGTGTTGACCCCAGTGCATCACACATTCACACACGCACACACGCACGCACGCACGCACGCACGCGTCCACGCACACACACACACACACACACACACACACATCGCACACCGACACATCACGCATATCACTCACCGGTCGTAGTAGAGAACCGCCCACTCACGACGGCTCGTCTCATCTGTGGTCATGTTAAGCCACGTGGCATTCGACAGGATTTGACTAAAACGCCAACAGCCGAGAGAGCGCACGCAAAATGCCCGAGTACATACATGTATGTATATAAACGAATGAGTGGAAAAACAAGCAACAAACTAGCAGCAGTAACACACCCTTCCCTCTCCTCACAAAACAACTTCAGCAAGCAAGTCTGTGTTGTGCGAGGGCAGCTTGAAAGAAGACACTGCCAAGCAACTGGCCAACCTGTTGTGCATCTCCTGCTCGTCCTTCAACAGCTCGACGTCGACCAAGTCGGTGATGCGCAGGTCCGCTGTGCGGGTGCACATGCACAGGGGTGTGGCAATACGGCAGGATGAGCAGTTGATGCACACGCGCCAGCACCTTGCATCAAACACAAACAAAAACAAACAAACAAACAAACAAACAAACAAACAAACAAACAAACAAACAAACAAACAAACAAACAAACAAATAAACAAACAAACAAACAAACAAACAAACAAACAATATGACAAACAAACAAACAATATGACAAACAATATGACAAACAATGCAATCACATTGTGGCCGCACATGGTGTGTGCTCCGCGTCACCGGTGACAGAATCCACGGATGGAACGTCCGTCTGTTGCATTCAAACAGCAACACAAACAGTGGCCAGGCACACACACACACACACACACACACACACACACACACACACAAGCGTGTTCAAGGTGGTACGTTGGAGTGGGCTGCACCTGAGCATGAAGGAATGGTACCACCAGGGCAAGTGTAGTGATGCTGTGCCGGTGCCGAGTGTGAGTGCTGAGCACGCCATGGTCATGTGCAGGACACCAAGCAGACCTTGTAGCGCTTGAGAGTGAAATTCAGCTTCCGAAACAGCAGCTGGGGATTGGCGGAAACGTCTGGTGCGCGCGCGTTGCACACAACACACACACACACACACACACACACACACACACACACACACACACACACACACACACACACACACACACACACACACAACACACACACACACAGCATCAGTCAACGTGTGACAATGAAGCAACCGCTCAAGCACGGCGCAGGCAGAGAACATCGTTGAGAGCATGTCAATCTTGCACAGAGCTACAGAGCCGCAGAGCGTGAGCAGCTTACGAAGTGGCGTAAAGGCGTATCGTGCGCGCCAGAACTGACACGTGTTGATGTCTGCCTGGGTGGGTGGCTTCAAGATGGAAAGCGGTTGCTGCAGCAGCTTCAGCAGCGCGTACCTTCATAGACACAATAACAATAACGGCAAGAGAACAGAGCACCACAGCATACGGCAAACATGTTGTGAGGTCCTGCCGGGTGAAAACACCACAGAGAATAATGCACCCCCCCCCCCCCCCCCCCCCCCAAAAAAAAAACCACTGTCTATGTGTGTATCGTGTGCATATCTACATCAGTCTGGATGGCCATATGAATGTGTGCATGGTACGTGTGCATGTGTGCGTATGTGCGTACCAAGCACTGCCGCGCAAGGACCGTTGGATGACGGACGCTGGCCGCGAGATGTGGGTCCTCACCGTGTACACCTGAACGGATGAATGGAGGAAACAGGGGCGTGAGCGTGTGTGGGATGACACGAGCGGGCCTGTTCATTGTTGTTCAAGCAAAATCACAACGACAACTTTTTCAAATGTGCATACAAATCCACACAATCCCAAGCAAGCGCAAGCGCAAACACACACACACACACGCGCAAAAAAAGAAGACGCAAACATTAACTACACGCACTTGTTGGCGTCGGAATGGAATGATTCCAAATACGTATGGGGTATCGGGCAACCTGGCCAACTCAGACACGTGCTCTTGGCGGGAAGGGTACACGTGCACAGTGCCGCGCTTGCGGGTGATGTTGAAGTGGCTGTTGAACAGCCGCATCGTCATGAGACGCTCCTCAGGCTCTTCCTCCACTGCTGCCTCTTTCTCGTCTTCAGATTTCTTCTTTGCTGCATCCGCCTGCGCACTGCCGCTGTTGGTCTTTGGCCTGCTCATCCACGCACAAAGCATACACAATGCACATGTGAGATGCGTAACACGACTGTGTGTGTGCGTGCGAGCGTGCGTGTGTGCGTGTGCTGTGAAGCATACGACATGCTCATTTTCTCCATGCACTTGAAAACGCGTGAATCAGACAACTGCTCCCAGCTGCACGCTTACAACCACACGAACACGCACGTACGCACACGGAAACACACGTTTACAAACACACGCATCACGCATGTACGAGACCACGTACTCCTTCTTCTTTGAGCGGAATGTGTTTTGGATGAAGCGAGACATCCAGAACATGCGAGGACGCGTGGCTTTGGCCTGTTGTTCCTGTTCCTCCTTCTCCTCAAGTTGTTCCTGATCGTCATTCCCATTTCCATTGCTGCTTCCATTTCCCTCCCGTTTACCATTGCTGCTGCTGTTGCTGCTGTCCTCTGCCTGTGCGCTTGCAGTCTTTGCCTTCATGCTCATGGAAAACAGGCCGAGCTCACGGATCTTCAGCAAATCATCCTCAAGGTACTGCGCACCAAGCATCAGCAGCAGCCCAAACACAAGCATCACAGGCTCTTGCTCTGCAGTATGGAGACACGACCGCACAGATCAGCGCATCAGTCGAGGTAATGAGGCGGTTGCTTGGGGCGAGGGACAGCTGAACATATGTGTGTGTATGTGTGTGTGTGCGTGCGGAGGAGGGGTCGACTGCATTGAAACACATTCACAGCGGCCATTGCATGACAGCTCACCTTCAAGGCCGGACTCTGCATCTCGGAAGCAGAAGTTGTAATTTGAAAACTCCACCCAGCCAGTTGAGCACTCTGTAACAGCAGTAAACACACACACACAACACAACACACACACACACACACAACACACACAATGGCGGTGAATGGATACCAACACATGTTGGAGCCGGCGGCATGAAAGCAATAACATGTGTCGGGCGATACTGGGGGCGGTGCGACGACACAGATCGTCAACAAGCCGACATTGTACCAGATGGTGCGAATGAGGTGGAGAGTGGCAAGCACGCGGGTGTCACGAGACTTTTCCATAATGGGCCTGACGAGCAACGAACACACATGACAACCACGAGATGGTGAACACCACACAGGGTGAGGGGAACCCAAGGATAGAATGAGAGCTTGCATGTGTCTCTGTGCGTGTGTATGCAGTGGAAATTATGGCAATGTGCGCTGGCTGACCGTAAGGGGTGAGTGTGTCGTGGTGAACGGGCGCAAACGCGTGCTGCCATCGCCGTAACATCTCAATTCTGCGCAATAACAGTTGAAACATGGCCAGGTCAGAAAGAGTAATAGAGTTTTGTTGTTCAGCCACAACTGTGTACTACTTGTTTGTTTGTGCGTGTATGTGTGTGTGTGTGCGCGCGCGAATGCGCATGTGTGTACGTGTGTGCCGCAACAGCCAGCAGCAGTGACATTGGAGCACGTGCACAAACAAAATCAGGCAACGAACGAAACGCACGATGGCTTTTGTCGAAAGCGCTCCGCAAACGGCATGAGCACGCGCGGCTGACGAAGAGAATGTGGTGTCGGGTCCTGCAGGGCGCGCAGGCGACGCGTCAACCTGGCACATGTGGAACGATGAATCAAACAAACGTACGCATGAGCACATGAGCACAATTGTACAACAACCACATTTCAAACGTAACCGGTGTACCGCACGCACACAACCAGCACGCACACACTCACACACTCTCTCTCATTCACACACACACACTCTCTCTCTCATTCACACACACACGCACACTCGTTCATTCACACACTCTGTCTCTCTCACGCACACGTACCATGTTGCACGAGAGGGCAGGAACGCATCAAACTTGGCCTGGCGCTTTGCATGTTCTGCAGAGACAAAGTTAAGCACACGCACGGGTCCGTAAGCGTCAAGAGTGGCCACGCACACGCACGCACGTATTCGCAAGTACACGCACACAAGCATTCACATGTACACACGACGCACACGAGCAAATAAAGTTGTGCCCACCTTTTCGCTTTTGCGTTGGCGAGCAAGGCAGGCTGCGGAGAATGCGGTCTGGGATGGCTGCGCGAACGCGAATGTGTTTCTGCTCGCGGTGCCAGCGGTACACACGGATGATGCGCCCGTACGGGTCCAGCTGATCCTGCAGCGTCGTGCGCTGGCCCCACCCGATTCGTGGCGGGCAGCTGTGGCGCCGAGCTGTCATGGCAGTGGTGGATAGAGCGACGGGAGGGAGGGAGGAGGAGGAGGAGGGTGTGGTAGCGGCGGTTATTGAACGTAGATTCAGGCGACAGGGGGAAAACAACGATTCAATTTGCAACAAACTCAAGCAACACACAATGCACACAATGCACGATGCGTGCTGCGACCTGGAAGCTGCTCGCCACGCTCTCTGCGAAACACAAACAGCGATTTGCCCGGATAAAGAGTGTCGGGAAAGTCGGGTGGACGAGGGTGCCGCACATCCGCAACGTCAACAGGTTCGCGCGGCGGCAGAAACACCGTGGGCTCCTGCGGTGGTGCACACTCGGGCGAGATGGGGTCGTAGCGGAGCCAGCACTCGTCATCGTACTTCTCCAGCTCATCCAGCGTTGGCGTTCGTGCCGCTGGCAGCGCCTGTTGCTGTTGCTGTTGCTGCTGATGGTGGTGGCGGTGGCGGTGGTGGTGATAGTTGTCGTCTTGATGATGGTGATGATGACGATGATGATTTTGATGCTGGTCACTGGCGTCGTCATCATCAATGGCGTTGCCGTTGACCGACGCGTGGTCAAGGCTCCAATCTGCGTGCTCCAGGTGCTCGTCCAAGGCTGGTAGCGATGGCAGCGGTGGTGAGAAGTTCCGTTGTGACCCAGATGGAGGCTGTGATGGCGATGCATTCACGCCACGAAACGGATCCGCAAGGTCACCAACGTCCATTCCATGCACATCCTCCGCCTGGTGGACGCGCGCGTGAATGAGTGGGTGAGCGAGTGGGTGAGCGGGTGAGTGGGTAAATGAGTGAATGAGTAAATGTGTGTTTTGTGTTTTGTGTTTTGTGTTTTTTGTTTGTGTGTGTGTGTGCTTGTGTTTGTGTTTGTGTTTGTGCTTGTGTTTGTGTGTTTGTTGCAGGAGTGTAGTGCATGTGCAAGTGGGTGCGTGTTTGAGTTAACAGCGAATGGCCGCTTCAAGTTGCGTTTCACTGAATCCGTGAAGGCAGCGCATGAGCACAGACCTGCATGGGCGGGAGGTGAAAGGAGTCTGCGTTTGGAGACGTGCGGGCAACGTGCAGAAAGCGGGGGAAGATTGCTTCGTCCATGTGCAGCGTCTGTGGACCTGCTTCATGCAGTGTCTTCGTTGTTGGCGAATACAGGCAGTGGTGGATCCATTCGGGCTGCTCGTACTGGAAGGTGGCGTCGCCAACTTGCGTGCCTGCAGGCAAGCAACAGTGCACCAGAACACATACAACAATCGAAGGTTGAGAAGAAGGTGTCGGACAAGTACGCAGCGGCCATCAAGACGTCGCTGTGCTACCGACTCAAAATATTGGAAGTTGGCAGCGATGGCATCTGCACATCGCCACAGCAATCAAAACAAACCAAAAAAAGACTCAGCTGTACAATCAAGCAAACACACACCACACGCGTGTGTTCACGTGTGTGACAGGTTGTGGTTGATTGTTACATTGCGGAGAGGACGTGGATGTGCTGTCGTCGTTCTCCTTATCGTAATAGATGAGCGGTGTGTTGAGACACAACGGTGCCGACATGCATATCTGACAGTGGTGGTGGCCACGGTGCAGTTCAATGCCATGGTGAACGACATGAAGCACGATTCAGAATATCACGAAGACAGGAGCTACACACACACACACACAACAAAACAGAAACACACTAATTCTAACAAACGAAACAGCATCAATACACGCACATCACACATACACCAGAACCACCACGACGAACCCAATCAATGCCGACGCCTTCGTCCTGCACGTGCTCTTCAACAATCTTGTACAGCGCTCGCGTTGTCTTCACAACACCGGTTCCCGCCGTCACCACCATCAGCGACAGGCCCGTCCTGAAAGAGAGGACCACAGCACCGAACACAGGCCGTTAAGACACGAACCCAAGCACTCGATGTGTGAGGAAGTGCTCGTTCCACGACATACAACAGTGGGCACAAGGCTCACGCTCCAGTGTATTCTCACCACCGCCAGCCCCAACAATAACAACAATAACAACAACAACAACAACAACAACAACAACAACAACAACAACAACAACAACAACAACAACAACAACAACATCATCATCATCATTATCCATGTCAAAGCACGCCCCTCCCCCCCCCCCCTTTCGCCTACTGAGCACGCGCCATCTGCCGCCACCGCCACACAACACGATGACCACCGCCACCACCACCAACAGCAGCACCTGTCGAATCTTCGGTCGATGAAATGCTCCTCGTACGATTTGAGCACAAGATGCAGCGCCTCAAACGTGTTCGCTTCGCCGCTCCGGCACACAACCTGCCGCCCAACGCGCGGGTCACAGCGGTCCCTGCAGCACCGATGGCGGGGAGTGGTGCCGTTGTCTTGGTGGTCAGTAGGTTGGTGATTGTGGTGTATGTGTGTGTGCATACGTTTGTGTGTGGTTGTGTCTCCGCGTGCATGTGTGTATCCTTCTGTGCACATGTTCACATGGTCGTGGATGTGGTGTGTGCTTGTGCTGGTAGCAGCGCTTCAGATGCCGATACAAGGGCGACCAACTCACGGATCGACGCCGATGCGTTGAAGGAACATGGTCGCGTCGTGCTTGATCGTCATCAGCACAGATGTCTGCAGTTGTGCTGAGAACAGCCAACAACACACCGGGCATGCATGAAACAAAGACACCCACGCAAGCCACCACGTGACAGTCGTGAATACCACTGTTCAACGACCATCTTCACCCAACAATCACGCGCACAAATCCCAGCCACATGTGCGTGTGTGTGTGTGTTGTGTTTGCAGCGTAACACAACCACCACGACCGACACTGACACCAGCAACGCCAACACCATCACCACCATCAACACCACTCCACCAGTGCACAGCATGCGTGTGCATTCACACCTCGAAAGACGAGTTCTTGGCAGACGACCTGGAAGAAATCACGATACCAGCGGCCGTCGGATGCCTGCTGGTACGCATCTGCAGATAATGATGACGATTGCGGCGGTGGCGGTGCAGTGGTGACGTGTCAGTGATGGAGGTGTGCTCATCAAAACGAGGCTTCAATGCACGCACACGTACAAAAGCACACATGTATTCACACATGTACGCTGACACTCACACTCACACACGCACCCGCACATTCACACGCATACACACGCGCATACACACGCGCATACACACGCGCATACACACGCGCGCGTGCGTTTGCACGCGCTCCTCCTGCGCTGATCTAACCTTGCTCGTCCTGTGGAATGTCGTCACGTGTGTGTATGTCCGGATACCAGATGCGAGTGGCGAGGAGGATAGTGACGAGGTGGCATACATCACCCTGCGCCCAGCGCGCAAACAGCTCCTCAAGGAAGCTGATGCACGCCTCAAAGTACGTGTTGCCGTCAGAGT